GGGCCAAGGTGCCTGGCCACCCCACTTCAATGTGTCCTTCTCCCCCAGAAGTTTCCAGACCTTGGTTTCCGAATGCGCCACCGAAGGAGTGTTGCTTAGCTCACCATAAACGACAGCACACGGCCATGTCTCAGACGACAAGCACAGCCTTATCTCTCCCTTTCCAGACCTCCTTTCTGGGAGCAAAGTTGTAGTTGGGAGGGGGGCTCCAAAGGTCATCTAGCCCAGGCCCCTTTGGCTCAGTGGAAGCACTTTGCAGAGGCAGGCCTCCAAACCTCCAAAGGAAAGCCAATCATTTCGCACAGCGATCAAACCATTCTTACCCTCTGGAAGTTCTTACTGACACTCGCCATTTGAATCCGTACTGGGAACTTTTAAAATACTGTTTATACTTAACCTGCTTTAATGTTTGCATATTGGTATATTTTTAAATTGTCAAGACGCTTTGAGTCTCCTTCGGGAGAGATTTGTGAACATCCTGTAGGTCCTCCATGATGACAACAATCCTGGACAGCAGCGGTTACCAAAGTGACTCATTTAAGGTGGAATCAGTTGTCAAACAGGGATGTGTAATTGCCCCAACCTTATTTTCCATCTTCATCACGATACTTCACCTTGTTGATGGGAAGCTTCCCACCGGAGTAGAAATCATCTATTGGACAGATGGCAAGCTATTCATCCTCAGCAGACTGAAAGCCAAAACCAAGGTCACACAACATCTGTTATAGAACTCCAGTATGCTGATGACAATGTCGTCTGTGCGCATTCAGAAGAAGATCTACAAGCCACTCTAAACACCTTCGCAGAACCATACGAGAAGTTCGGCCTGTCATTGAACATCGAGAAAACCAAAGTGCTGTTCCAGCAGTCACCAGCCAATTCCTTTCCAATGCCAGAGATACAGCTTAATGGTGTAACATTAGAATATGTTGACCATTTCCGCTCCCTTGGCAGCCACCTCTCCACCAAAGCCAACATTGACAACGACACCGCCTGAACTCTGCGAGCGCAGCATTTTTCCGAATGAAGCAGAGAGTGTTTGAGGACCGCGACATCCATAGGGAGAACAAGGTGCTTGTTTATAAAGCTATTGTCTTCCCAACCCTGTTATATGCCTGCACAACATGGACTGTCTACAGACGTCACATGCAACTTCTGGAACGATTCCATCAGCGATGCCTCCGGAAAATCCTGCAAATCTCTTGGGAAGACAAGCGGACAAACATCAGCGTGCTGGAAGAAGCAAAGACCACCAGCATTGAAGCGATCGTCCTCCGCCATGAACTCTGCTGGACCAGCCACGTTGTCCGGATGCCCGACCACCATTTCCTAAAGCAGTTGCTCTACACCAAACTCAAGAACGGGAAATGAAATGTTGGTGGAAAAGAGATTTAAAGATAGGCTCAATTTAAGCCAACCTTAAAAACTCTGGCATAGACACTGAGAACTGGGAAGCCCTGGCCCTTGAGCGCTCCAGCTGGAGGTCAGCTGTGACCAGCAGTGCTGCAGAATTTGAAGAGGCACGAATGGAGGGTGAAAGAGAGAAATGTGCCAAGAGGAAAGAGCGTCAAGCCAACCCCGACCGGAACTGCCTTCCACCTGGAAACCGATGCCCTCACTGCAGGAGAAGATGCAGATCAAGAATAGGGCTCCACAGTCACCTACGGACCCACCACCAGGATACTGACCCTGGAAGACTATCCTACTCGGCCAACAAGGGATCGCAGAAGAGGAAGAAGAAGAAGAAAGAGAAGAAGAAGAAGTAGTAGTGGTAGTAGTTGTGGAAGAAGGAGGAGGTATATTTTTAAATTGTCAAGCTGCTTTGAGTCTCCTTCGGGAGAGATACAGCGGGGAATAAACTAATAATAATAACTTTCCTACTGACTGTTAGGAATTGTGGGAGTTGAAGTCCAAAGCACCCAGCGGAAGGTCTGGAGTTGTCCCATGCCTGCTGTTGACTTATGCAATGCAGTGTAGATCCAGCATGAGTTGACCACAAGTGGACGTGAGCCAATAATGTGATGCAGCAGCAAACAAAGCCAATGTGATTCTAGACGCAAAGGCAGGCTGGAATATTTGGGAGGATGTCCTATTGAGGAGGAAAGATGGCTCGTGGCCAAGCGCCATCCACAGCAGCAGGCAGTGCTGGTGCAAACCTGACTTATCGTGTGTCAAAGCCTGATAATGGGAACTGGGCACAAGGGCATCTCTGGATTGGCTCACTGCCCAACAATGAAGGCTATTTCCAGTTCAGGCACTTTCTCAGGCCGAGGAAGGAAGAAGGCAATGGCTTCGTTCCTTACGCTACTTGGTTGCAAATCTCATTTCTTAACTGGATCTATCATCAAAACATGGGGAAAGTTGCATGGATGACTTAGAACAGTGTTTCTCAACTTTTTTAATGCCATGACCTCTTAATCCGGTTCTTCATGTCGTGGTGACCCCCAACCATAACATCTTAGAAAACTATTTCTTGATTTCAGTCATTGACGTACTGGCTGGTACCCAAACAAGGGATGAGCTGGAGATGTCTCTGCCTTGGTCCTTTCACTATTGGTTGCTACTTCCCGGCGGATGTCAGGTGGTGCAATACCAGCTAAACAGTGTAATTTCTCCAGTGGTGTAGGGCGCAGACACCCCGTGATAATGCGGCATGTCTCATTAAGAGCCACATCTACTGTTTTAGCGTGGTGAGATGTGTTCCACACTGGGCATGTGTACTCAGCAGCAGAGTAGCAAAGCGCAAGGGCAGATGTCTTCACTGTGTCTGGTTGTGATCCCCAGGTTGTGCCAGTCAGCTTTCGTATGATATTGTTTCTAGCGCCCACTTTTTGCTTGGTATTCAGGCAGTGCTTCTTGTAGGTCAGAGCACAGTCCAGAGTGACTCCCAGGTATTTGGGTGCGCTGCAATGCTCCAGTGGGATTCCTTCCCAGGGTGAAGTGGAACCATCAGAAAGAAGGTCCCTTTGGATTTGGTCATTAACCAATTGCAGATTCACCTCACCTAGCCCACATTGGAGTAGTTTGCTTGCAAGAAGTTCAGCTGAAAGAACTGGCAGACCTGGAGATTCCTATAGAGAACACTAGGAACCAAACAAGTTGTTGGGTGACACGCTTCAAAGCAATATTCCAAAACAAACCAGAACATAGTATTACGATGGAGCTATGTTCCCTCGCTATTGCATTTGTGGGAAAAGAGGCACCAGGCCCGTGCTGCGCATTGTGCTCCAAGGGCATGCGTGCGTTCCTCTGGCCAGATGTTGGGGTCCCTGCTTGAGGGAGGCCGTTGCCTCCAGCGATGGCCTTTCTATAAATACGGCCATTAGCAGCCGCCCGGCTTCCTTCCTGCCTTGACCTCTGAGACCACAAAGCAAAACTCCTCTTCTGGACTTCCTAAAAGAGGCATAGAAACCCATGCAAGGAGGAAACTTGGGAGTGTTTTTGCTATGATCCTATCTGCAAAGGAAGTGGGGGGAGAGGCCTCGCTGGTGCCAAAACGGACACTGCGCTCACATCCCTTGGCAACGCAACCCAGGTTCTCTCTATTGCGCATCATAGGAAAAAATGTGCAAAACATTTCCAAGGGCCAAGCAGATTTGTGGGACTTTCCATAGGGCGAGCGCCTGGGAAAGCATTCGTGTTTTTCATTCCTCAACTTTGGCATCCTGTTGAGGCAGCTTACACATGTTGTTATGACCGCATAACGGCTTGATATTCACACTGGCATTCCTGGTATCATTGCCGTGATCGCAAAGGACCCCACAATCCACTTTAAAATCCAGCAGCCAGTCCAACAGATGCTCCCAAAAGTCTACCTTAAAATCATTCCAATCATTCCCCCTCAATCCACCTTAAAATCTAGGAATCCATTCCAGGGGATGCCACCCCAAAATTAATTTAAAATTAGGCAAAAGTGACCCAAAACCCATCTTACAATCCAGGCAATCATACCAAAGGATACTCCCCAAAACCCACAGGAGCAGGGATGTAAAGCTCTGGGTGATGGGACTTGTAGTCCAACACAGTTGAAGCCCAGGGCAATGGCACTTTAGTCCAACAATCTTGAAGCTCAGGGTGATGGGACTTTAGTCCAACAACCTTGAAGTTCAGGGTGATGGGACTTGTAGTCCAACAACCTTGAAGTTCAGGTTGATGGAACTTGTAGTCCAACAACCTTGAAGCTCAGGGTGATGGGACTTTAGTCCAACAACCTTGAGGTTCAGGGTGATGGAACTTGTAGTCTAACAACCTTGAAACTCAGGGTGATGGAACTTGTAGTCCAACAACCTTGAAACTCAGGGTGATGGAACTTGTAGTCCAACAACCTTGAAGCTCGGAGCAATGGGACTTGTAGTCCAACAACCTTGAAGCTCAGGATGATGGGACTTGTAGTCCAACAACCTTGAAGCTCAAGACAATGGAACTTATATTGCAACACACCTGAAGCTCAGTGTGATGGGACTTGTAGTCCAACACACCTGAAGCTCGAGACAATGGAACTTTTAGTCGAACAACCTTGAAGCTTAGGGCAGTGGGATGTAAAACTCCAGTTATTTCGTTCTTTCCCATACAAATAAAATTTTCAAGAGTGTGGTGGAGGCTCCTTCTTTGGAGGCTTTTAAGGAAAGGCTGGATGGCCATCTATTGGGGGTGCTTTGAATGTAATTTTCCTGCTTCTTGGCAGAATGGGGTTGAAATGGGTGGCCCACAAGGTCTCTTCCAACTCTAGGATTCTAAGAGGTGATTTTTCACCATTTGGGGATATAATTTTTTTTGCAAATATTTCAAATTTTTTGCAAAAAAAAAAAAAGAAGTTTTTGCACCAAGCCCTTGTGTGAGGTTTTACCATTTCTGCCCAATTCTGGATTTTGGAAATGGCCAAAATTTCCAAAGTTACATTGCAAACCTTGTAAGCATCAGAAACCCAATTACATCAGACTTTTTTTTAAACCCCGAAGCGTCCCTCCATTGAGTAGCTTGAGATGCATTTATTTTCTGTTGTGCCTTTTATTCCTCCATTTGTCCTTTTTCCTTCATTGCAGAATTGCAATCGGACACAATAAACAGGGACTTTGCACCTTGCAAACCATGTAGCTACAATTCATCTCACGGCTACTGCATTCTGCCTAATGAGGTTTTCCATGCATTGGGAAACCTTTTGTTTTTTCAACGAATGAGCTATGCTTCCATTCATATTAACTACATATCCCATTGATTTTTGCAAATCAAGGAAATATTCCTTCCATTCACACCAACTATGTCTCCCATTGAGAAAGTTGCCCTAAATGGCAAAACAATGAGTCTGAATTCGGAGAGGTCATTTACTCCTCCTTTTCAGTGGTTCTTTCCCGACTGGATCATGGCCTTCAAGGAGTCCTCAAGGAGCCTGTTTTTCTTCTCCAAGTCCTCCCTCGAACACCGGACCTCTTGCAGCGTCTGCTCCATTTCAGCCGATCGAACCCTTTCCTTCTCGATTTCTTCGTTGAGCCGCACCACTTTGGCCCAGACCTCATAGTTCTCCTTCTCCAGGCTGCAAAAGGGCACAGGAATCAACATCAAACAATATGGCTTCCCAAAACCCAAGGATGGCACCAGTTGCAAAGCGACCTCCAATCGGAGTCCAATTTAGCTAATACTGACTCAATGAAAGTGGCCTTTGGGCATCATCAATTGACCCATCCCGAATACAAAGATACATGGTTTTAATTAAAATAATAATAATAATAATAATAATAATAATAATAATAATAATAGCAGCAGTTTGGGAGTTCTCCTAGATTCATCGCTGAGCCTGGAGCCCCAGACTTCGGCGGTGGTCAGGGGAGCTTTCGCACAATTAAAACTTGTGCGCCAGCTGCGCCCGTACCTTGGGAAGTCTGACTTGGCCACGGTGGTCCACGCTTTGGTTACATCCCGTTTAGACTACTGCAACGCTCTCTACGTGGGGTTGCCTCTGAAGACTGCCCGGAAGCTGCAGCTAGTCCAACGCTCGGCAGCCAGACTACTAACGGGTGCTGGGTACAGGGAGCACACCACTCCGCTGTTACACCAGCTCCACTGGCTGCCAATTAGCTTCCGAGCACAATTCAAAGTGCTGGTGTTAACCTATAAAGCCCTAAACGACTCCGGCCCTGTTTACCTCTCCGAACGTATTCTCCCCTATGAACCATCAAGATTATTAAGATCGTCTGGAGAGGCCCTGCTCTCGGTCCCACCGGCCTCGCAAGCGCGTCTGGTGGGGACGAGGGACAGGGCCTTCTCGGTGGTGGCCCCTCGACTCTGGAACTCTCTCCCACTGGAGATCAGAACTGCCCCTTCTATCCTGACATTTAGGAAACAGGTGAAGACTTGGTTATGGAGACAGGCATTCGACGAGTGAGCCAACACCCTGAGATATGGATGGAGGATGATGAGCAACGATTTTAGTGTGACGACTGACCATTATAGTTATTGATTGTAATTGCTGTTTTAATGTTTTACTGTAATATGTATTATATTTTATTGATTGTATGTGATATTATGGTTGGAAACCGGTCTGAGTCCCTCAAGAGAGGTGAGAAGGCCGGTATACAAAACTTTTAAATAATACTTAGGCAGTCAAGACTTCATGAAAGTGACCTTTGGGCATTATTGATCGACCCATCCCAAATACAAATATACATAATAATAATACTAATAATAATACTTTGCCAGTCACACTTGCAAATTAAATACCTCTTGGTTTTCCAATGGCCACTCACAAAAGAAAGCAATAATAATAATAATAATAATAATAATAATAATAATAATAATACTTAGGCAGTCAAGGCTTCATGAAAGTGACCTTTGGGCATTATTGATCGACCCATCCCAAATACAAATATAAATAATAATAATAATAATAATAATAATAATACTTTGCCAGTCACGCTTGCAAATTAAATACCTCTTGGTTTTCCAATGGGGACTCACAAAAGAAAGCAATAATAATAATAATAATAATAATAATAATAATAATAATAATACTTAGGCAATCAGGCTTGCAAGTTAAGTCTGTCTTGACTTTCCAATGGCCACTCACAAACAACAACACCACCACTTTGGTAGGCTGTGTGAAAGTGCCTTTGTGCATCATTGATTGACCCATCCCAAATCCAAATATACATAGTTTTTATAATAATAATAATAATAATAATAATAATAATAATAATACTTTGCCAATCAGACTTGCAAATTAAATGCTTCTTGTCTTTCTAATGGTCACTCACAAAAGAAAGCAGAAATAATAATAATAATAATTATTATTATTATTTGGAAGTCAGACTTGTAAGTTAAGTCAGCTCTTGACTTTCCAATGGCCACTCACAAAAGAAAACAACAGCAACAACAACAACAACACTTTGGCATTCAGGCTGCATGAAAGTGTCTTTCGGCATCATCCCAAATACAAATATACAGTCTTAATTTTTTTAAATAATAATAATAATAATAGTAATAATAATAATAATAATAATAATAATAATAATAATAATAATACTTGGCAGCCAGGATTGCTATTTGTTTGTTTGTTTGTTTGTTTGCAACATTTCTACCCCACCCAGAGGGGACTCAAGGCAGCTTACACTTAAGCAACTATTCAATGCCTTCCAAAACAAATTAAATCCCTCTTGACTTTTCAATGGCCACTCAAAAAAGAAAGCAATAATAATGATAATAATAATAATAATAATAATAATAATAATAATAATACTTCTTCCCTGCCTCTTCTCCTAGCTAGAGGCGAGTCATAGTTTTTAAAATGTGTTTGAACTCGTTCCAAGATGAATGTCCCATTTCGGAAATGCCTGAGACCAGAGGTGTTGGGCATTTACTTCAGATTTGTTTGTGACATAATTGTCCCTCCTGGTTTTGACTTTTGCAGGTTGGAAGCTACACTCTGTGGCACTATGATTTTCGTTCCTGATTTATGAATGTCATTTCCTAATTGTTTCTATCATCAAAACATCGGAGAAAGATTTATTGAACTACAAAAGCTTTGTTTTTGTGGAAAGGACACCCTGCAGCACCTTTTGCTATAGTTTCCCAATGAGTATCTGATAAGATGCCGCATGAATGCATATTGCTTTTAAATTGTTAATTTTCAGATGTTTTTCTGTTTATTGATTGTTTTAGCTGTTTTCTATATGTGTTTCGACTGACGTTTGTATGACAGTAATATGCTGTAAGCTGCTTTGGGTCCCTTGAGGGAGAAAAATGTGATATAAATAAAGATTTATTATTATTATTATTATTATTTGAAACACAACAAGATTTGTACACAGCAAACAAGATCACTATGCTAGTTGCTGTATTGGATCACACTTAGAACACTTCCCAAGTGTCTAGGACTGTGTGATGTATTGGCAAATAATGTGTGCGGATCCCAGTAGGATGGCCTTTTGCAGCTGACCGGTGGTGATATTGTGTTTAAGTGCAGGCAAGGGTCTATTATTATTATTATTATTATTATTATTATTATTATTACTACCAGAGTCATGCAGCCCTGGCTCAATGCGATGAGATCCTGGGAATTGTGGTTTTGCAATACAGAACTCCCACGATGCCATGGCAGTCAAGGACAGTGGTACCAAACTGCGTTCGTTCCACAATGTAGACCAGTGTTTCTCAGCCTTCCTAATGCCGCGACCCCTTAATACTGTCCCTCATGTTGTGGTGACCCCCAACCATAAAATTATTTTTGTTGCTGCTTTGTAAATGTAATTTTGCTCCTGTTATGAATCCTAATGTAAATATCTGAAATGGAGGATACATTTTCATTCACTGGACAAAATTTGGCACAAATACCCAATATATCAAAATTTGAATGCTGGTGAGATTGAGGGGAAATTGATTTTGCCATTTGGGAGTTGTAGTTGCTGGGATTTATAGTTCAATTACAATCAAAGAGCATTCTGAACTCTACCAGCAATGTAATTGAACCAAACTTGGCACACAGAACTCCCATGACCGACAGAAAATATTGGAAGGGTTTGGTGGGTATTGAGCTTGAGTTTTGGAGTTGTAGTTCACCTACATCCAGAGAGCACTGTGGACTCAAACAATGATAGATCTGGACTAAATTTGGCACAAATACTCAATATGCCCAAATGTGAACCCTGGTGGTGTTTGGGGAAAATAGACCTTGGCATTTGGGAGTTGTAGTTGCTGGGATTTATAGTTCACCTACAATCAAACAGCATTCTGAACCCTACCAACGATAGAATTGGGCCAAACTTACCACACAGAACCCCTATTACCAAAAGAAAATACTTTTCTGATGGCCTTTGGTGACCCCTCTGACACCCCCTCGTGATCCTTGGGTGTCCCGACCCCCAGGTTGAGAAATGCTGATGTAGACGTTTCCCAAAGTTGCTTTACCTCGCAATTTGCTCTTCATAGTCCTTCTTCTGTGCTGCCATCTCCCTTTCCAACTCCGCGATCCTCATCCGAAGAGAGTCAGGATCCTCCGAGTCACAAAGGTCTCGATCCAAACCAAGATGGGGATCTGGAGACCCGTTTTGCTCTGGATCAGGATCAGGATGCTTTCCTGGGTCATCATCGCTTCCCAGGATCAAAGGATGTTTCGCGTCTTGGACTGGCTTCTTGGTTTCCTGTACAGAAGGGTTTGTTGCTTGAGGCAAATGCAGGAGTCTGGAGATGCCTTGAGAGAAGGTCCGCTTGTGGCTCCGTCCAGCGGAGGAAGGAACAGGATGGAGCTGTGCCAAAGACGAGGATGAGGTCCAGAAGCTGCTCCGGAAAAAGTCATTTTCGCCCAAAGCTTTGTCCCTTTGCAAGCCCGGAATGGTCCCAAAGGATTTCCGGCTGGGAAGCGTCTGCGTCCGTTTCCGGGGTTCCAGAGCATCTCTGTCCAGCAATTCCCCATTGCCTTCCATGGAATGGTCTCCTCCAGAGGGTTCTAGATCATCTCTCTAGAAGCAAAGTCAGAAACTGTTGACTGACTGTTGAGCCCTGGTCTGAGAATGAGGGGAGCCTGAATAGATGAGTCTCTAGTGACTCAGGGAGAAAGCAGCTCTCCTCTGGATGTTGGGAAAGCCTTACGGGCAGATTTGTGTCCAATGAGAATGTTTCCTAGGAAATGCTGCCAGAGGCTCTTCCTGACCCTCAGAAGGAGGCCAGAGAGGTGGAAGAGGCTGGGTTGTGGCCTATAACACAGCACCTCCAGTTATGGAGAGATAGTGGATTTTTGGCTTTACTTTCAGTATTGGACTCTGCTGTTTGCTGCATCTAGGATATTATGGCTTTAACCTATATTTGGAATAACTTTTGGAGCTTATGGAGCGCCGTTACCTTCCCGCCGGAGCGGTACCTATTGATCTACTCACATTTGCATGTTTTCGAACTGCTAGGTTGGCAGAAGCTAGGGCTGACAGCAGAAGCTCACGCCGCTCCCCGGAATCGAACCTGCGACCTTTCGATCAACAAGCTCAGCAGCTCAGTGCTTTAACCCAACTGCGCCACCGGGGGCCCCTGCAGTCATGCTGGCCACATGACCTTGGAGGTGTCTACGGACAACGCCGGCTCTTCGGCTTAGAAATGGAGATGAGCACCACACCCCAGAGTCAGACATGACTGGACTTAATGTCAGGGGACTACCATTACCTTTACCTTGGAGCTTATATTTAGGATGTACCGTATATTCCGGCATATAAGACGACTGGGTGTATAAGACGACCCCCAACTTTTCCAGTTAAAATATAGAGATTAAGACGACTCCCATGCATAAGACTACACCCACATATAAGACGACCCCTGATTTTTGAGAAGATTTTCTTGGGTTAAAAAGTAGTCTTATACGCCAGAATATACTGTACTTTCACTTTTGCCTTTTCTATATACTTTGGAAACACTTTGCTATTCTGTACTCTGAAATGTACTATTGAACTAGCTTTTACTACAAAATACTCTTTTCTTTAATAAACTTTAAATCAGTTGATTGATTCTTGTATGCATAGCTATATTTGGGCTAACTAGCTCTTCATTTTGGGTGAAAAGATGTCACATATGTGGCTGGGCTACAACACCAACATTGCCTTTGGGCAACATCAATTGACCCAAATACAAATATACATAGTTTTAATTTTTTTAAAAATGATGATGATGATGATACTTTGGCAGTCAGGTTTGCATATTAAATCCCTCTTGACTTTCCAATGGCCACTCACAAAAAAAACCCAATAACAATAACAATACTTTGGTAGTCAGGCTTTGTGAATGTGCCTTTGTGTATCAAATTAAATTCCTCTTGACCAGGAAGGGGCAAACTTGGACTTCAACTCCCACAATTCTTAACAGCCTACTGGCTGTTAGGAATTGTGGGAGTTGAAGTCCAAAACACCTAGAGGGAAGGCCGAAGTTGGCTCATGACTGCTCTTGACTTTCTAATGCCCACTCACAAAAGAAAACAACAACAACAGTCAGGGACCAAGTGGAGGTCATGGTTTTGTCATAATTCAGTACAGAAACACTCACCACTTCCCAAAGGGTTTCGCTCCTTGGTGCCATGGACATGGGGACGGCGTCCCACCCAACAGCATTTCGAGGCACCAGGTTCTTCTTGGGGTCACTGGCTTGTTGTGGCGGAGGAGGCCTCTGGTCCTTGGAAGGCGGGAAGAAGCGGTCGTGCCCACGGATCAGGGCTGCCATGACCCGCTGGATTTGGGGGGTCCCTGCGGGAAAAGGAGAGCAAAAGGTGGTTGGATTAAGAGGAGGAGGGCAAGGTGGCAAATGGCAGCAGCAACATCATATTTAACAACTTCTTCATCTCTGTCTTCATCTTCTTCCTCTTCATCATCATCTTCTCACTATCTTCCTCTTCCTCACCATCATCCTCTTCTTCATCCTCTACTTCATCACCATCATCTTATTCCTTCTTCACATTCTTCATTTTCTTCTTTTTAATCTTCTTCCTCTGCATCATCATCTTCTTCCTTTTCCTCATCCTCATCTTTTTCTTCATCATCATCACATTATTCTATTTCATTTTCTTCTTCAACTTTGTATTCTTCATCTTCTTCGTCATTTTCTTCTTCATTTTCATCACCACCACCATCTTCCTCTACTATTATTTCCCCTACTTACTATAATAATAATAATAATAATAATAATAATAATTATTATTATTATTATAAATAATATTTAATTTATGTTATTCATAGAATCATAGAATCAAAGAGTTGGAAGAGACCTCATGGGCCATCCAGTCCAACCCCCTGCCAAGAAGCAGGAATATTGCATTCAAATCACCCCTGACAGATGGCCATCCAGCCTCTGCTTAAAAGCTTCCAAAGAAGGAGCCTCCACCACACTCTGGGGCAGAGAGTTCCACTGCTGAACGGCTCTCACAGTCAGGAAGTTCTTCCTCATGTTCAGATGGAATATCCTCTCTTGTAGCTTGAAGCCATTGTTCCGCATCCTAGTCTCCAAGGAAGCAGAAAACAAACTTGCTCCCTCCTCCCTGTGGCTTCCTCTCACATATTTATACATTATTGTTTTATCTTGTTATTTCATTTTATAAGAATATTATTATTTTATTTTATTACAATATAGAATATTTTATTTATTATTGTATTACTGTTTTATTATTATTAAATGTTATTATATTCTTTTATAATAATATTATTATATTATTTAAAATATTATATATTAGTAGTAGTAGTAGTACCAGCTGTTAGAAATTGCCCGTGCCTGATGTAGATGGTGATGATAATAATAATAAAAACTTTATTTATATTCTGTCGTATCTCCTCGAGGGGACTCAGAGTGGATTGGAAATATTCAGTGCCTGACACAACCATAAATACAAACACAATAACAACCCAGCCAAATCCCAAAATAAATCAACATATGCCAAAATAGATGCACATATAAGACCAAACTGTAACATACAACCTAAAATTAAATTAAATTATAGCTAGCATTAAAACATGAATATCAATTTATGGAAACCAACAAAGGTTCATTTGTAATAAAATTTAAATTTTATCAACAAAGCCAAACGAGCCAACAGAGCCAGAATAAGATAGTAATTACCACTGAAGAATGCACCACACCTTTCATGATGGTCACTGGGTCCTCCACCTTGGGCCGGATGAGGTTGACCCCGAAGACTGTGGCCAGGTTCTCCACACTCATCTTGTTGGTCGCTGAGCAGAGATCGATTTCATGGAGGAACCTGCTCAACGAGAGTTATAGTTTGAACTCAATGTCTAGAAGAAGTTAGGTGTACCAGGTATATGACGTTGAGTCATGCTGGAGGACCTAGAAATGCTACAGAAGTGTTCTTCTCTACACATTTCCTAGGTCCTCCAGTACAATTCTATGGTGTGCTTCCATTGGAAGTTGGCCACAGAATTACACTGGAGGATCCAGAAGTGCTAATGAGCTCTACAGGCATTTCCTATATCCTCCAGTGCAATTCCATTGTATGCTTTCATTGGAAGTTGACCATAGAATGACCTAGAAGTGCTAATGAGCTCTCTAGGCCCTTCCTAGGTCCTCAAGTGCATTTCCATGGTATGCTTTCATTAGAAGTTGGCCACAGAATTACACTGGAGGACCCAGAAGTGCTAATGAGTTCCACAGGCATTTCCTACATCTTCCAGTGCAATTCCATAGTTTGCTTTCATTGAAAGTTGGCCATAGAATGACCTAGAAGTACTAATGACCTCTCTAGGCATTTCTTAGGTCCTTCAATGCAATTCTATTGTATGCTTCCATTGGAAGTTGGCCACAGAATTACACTGGAGGATCCAGAAGTGCTAATGAGTTCCGCAGGCATTTCCTAGGTCCCCCAGTGGTTTGCTTCCATTGGAAGTTGGCCATAGAATGACACTGGTGGACCCAGAAGTGCTAATGAGCTCTCTAGGCATTTCCTAGGTCCTCCAGTTCAATTCCATGGAATGCCTCCACTTCTCTAACATTTTGAGGTCCTCCGGCGCATATCTATAGCCAATGGCCAGCAGAGGCACATGATAGAATCATGATGGAGGACTAGAAATGCTATAGGGGTGTTCTTTCTAGGCTTTTTCTAGGTCCTCCAGTGCAATTCCATGGTATCCTTCTAATTGAAGTTGAGTGTAGAGCCATACTGGAGGATCGAGAGTTATTCTCTCTGGGCATTTTCTAGGTCCTCTAGTGTCGACTCTATGGCACAGAATTCATAGTCAGCTTTCACTGGGAGTTGACCATAGAGCTGCACTGGAGAATCTAGAAATGCTACTAAGGTGTTCTCTCTAGGCATTCTTTAATTCAGTGAAATTCTATGCTAGGCTTACCACTGGAGGTTGACCACAGAGTCATACTGGAAGACCTAGAAAATGTTAAGTGGAAGCATACCACTGGACGTTGAACTGGAAAACCTAGAAATGCTAGAAAGGTGGTTTCTCTGGACTTTCTCAAGGAATAATTCTTTGAATTTGGAACAATTCTATGGTAAGCTGGAAGTTGCTGATAGAGCCGTGGTGGATGACCTAGAAATGCTAGAAAGGTGACCTCACTAGGCATTATTCAGTCCTCTAGTGCAATGGTATGATACACTTTTGCTGGAAGTTGACCTTCCATCAAAAGACACCAAATTGGGAGGGATAGCCAATACTCCAGAGGACAGGAGCAGGATTCAAAACGATCTTGACAGATTAGAGAGATGGGCCAAAACTAACAAAATGAAGTTCAACAGTGACAAATGCAAGATACTCCACTTTGGCAGGAAAAACGAAATGCAAAGATACAAAATGGGGGACGCCTGGCTCGAGAGCAGTACGTGTGAAAAAGATCTTGGAGTCCTCGTGGACAACAAGTTAAACATGAGCCAACAATGTGATGTGGCGGCAAAAAAAGCCAATGGGATTTTGGCCTGCATCAAGAGGAGCATAGTGTCTAGATCTAGGGAAGTAATGCTACCCCTCTATTCTGCTTTGGTTAGACCACACCTGGAATATTGTGTCCAATTCTGGGCACCACAATTCAAGAGAGATATTGACAAGCTGGAATGTGTCCAGAGGAGGGCGACTAAAATGATCAAGGGTCTGGAGAACAAGCCCTATGAGGAGCGGCTTAAGGAGCGGGGCATGTTTAGCATGAAGAAGAGAAGGCTTGAGAGGAGATATGATAGCCATGGATAAATATGTGAGAGGAAGCCACAGGGAGGAGGGAGCAAGCTTGTTTTCTGCTTCCTTGGAGACTAGGACACGGAACAATGGCTTCAAACTACAAGAGAGGATTCCATCTGAACATGAGGAAGAACTTCCTGACTGTGAGAGCCGTTCAGCAGTGGAACTCTCTGCCCGGAGTGTGGTGGAGGCTCCTTCTTTGGAAGCTTTTAAACAGAGGCTGGATGGCCATCTGTCAGGGGTGATTTGAATGCAACATTCCTGCTTCTTGGCAGGGGGTTGGACTGGATGGCCCATGAGGTCTCTTCCAACTCTTTAATTCTATGATTCTTAGATCAGGCATGGGCAAACTTGGGCCTTCCCTCCAGGTGTTTTGGACTTCAGCTCCCACAATTCCTAACAGCTGGTTGCTAGGAACTGTGGGAGTTAAAGTCCAAAACACCTGGAGGGCCCAAGTTTGTCCATGCCTGCCTTACGAGTCACACTGGAGGACCTGGAAATGTTAAAGAGGTATTTTCTCTAGGCATTTTCTAGGTCCACCAAGGTGACACTATGGCCATAGTGGATATGAGGATCATACTGGGCATTTGCCAAGGAAAAGGGGAAACAGGAAAGGGAGGAACGTACCTGCAAATGTAGCTGAGGAGGTTGTAATTGTCTCGGGGCAAAAGACCCAGCTGCTTCGACAACAATTGGCGGCCCTAGAAGGACATCAAGGAGGGTGGGTTTCTGACTCTCAGGGTGAGTTTATAACATCAATATTCACTTGGAGGTTTTGGTAACACTATTTTTATTTCAATATACCGACAAGGAGACAGGAGACAGCATAGAATGCAGCATTTGATGGGGGTGCTTTAGTAGTGCTTTTCCTGCATGATGGCAGAAGGGGGTTGGACTAGATGGCTCTTGGGATCCCTTCCAACTATATCATTATTATTGAGACTGGATGGCTATCTGTCGGGAGTGCTTTGATTTTGTTTTTTGTGCATTAAAGCAGAAGGAGGTTGGACTGTATTCACCTCGGAGTCTCTTCCATCCATATTATTATTTTGTTGTTGTTGTTACCATCATTATCATTAATATTATTGAAGTTGGATGGCCATCTGTCATGAGTGCTTTGATTGTGCTTTTCATGCATGAAGGCAGAAAGGGGTTGGACTGGATAGCTCTTGGGGTCCCTTCCAACTATATTACTATCATCATCATCATCATCATCATCATCATTAATATAATTGAGGCTAGATGGCCATCTGTTGGGAGTGCTTTGATTGTGCTTCTCCGGCATGATGGCAGAAGAGGGTTGGACTGTATTGACCTAGGGGTCTCTTCCAACTATATTATTTTGTTGTTGTTGTTGTTGTTATCATCATTATCATTAATATTATTGAGGTTAGATGGCCATCTGTCGGGTGCGCTTTGATTGTGCTTTTCGTGCATGAAGGCAGAAGGGGGTTGAACTGGATAGTCCTTGGGGTCCCTTCCAACTCTATTATCATCATCATCATCAATATAATTGAGGCTAGATGGCCATCTGTCGGGAGTGCTTTGATTGTGCTTCTCCGGCATGATGGCAGAAGAGGATTAGACTGTATTGACCTAGAGGTCTCTTCCAACTATATTATTTTGTTGTTGTTGTTGTTGTTGTTATCATCATCATTCTCATTAATATTATTGAGGTTGGATGGCCATCTGTCAGGAGTACTTTGATTGTGCTTTTTGTGCATGAAGGCAGAAGGGGGTTTGACTGGATAGCCCTTGTGATCCCATCCAACTCTATTATTATTATTATTATTATTATTATTATTATTATTATTATTATTATCATTTTATTATTATTGTCATCATCATCATTAATATAATTGAGGCTAGATGGCCATCCGTCGGGAGTGCTTTGATTGTGCTTCTCCGGCATGATGGCAGAAGGGGATTGTACTGTATTGACCTAGGGGTCTCTTCCAACTATATTATTTTGTTGTTGTTGTTGTTGTTGTTATCATCATTATCATTAATATTATTGAAGTTGGATGGCCATCTGTCAGGAGTGCTTTGATTGTGCTTTTCGTGCATGAAGGCAGAAGGGGGTTGAACTGGATAGTCCTTGGGGTCCCTTCCAACTCTATTATCATCATCATCATCATCATCAATATAATTGAGGCTAGATGGCCATCTGTCGGGAGTGCTTTGATTGTGCTTCTCCGGCATGATGGCAGAAGGGGATTGGACTGTATTGACCTAGGGGTCTCTTCCAACTATATTATTTTGTTGTTGTTGTTGTTGTTATCATCATTATCATTAATATTATTGAAGTTGGATGGCCATCTGTCAGGAGTGCTTTGATTGTGCTTTTCGTGCATGAAGGCAGAAGGGGGTTGAACTGGATAGTCCTTGGGGTCCCTTCCAACTCTATTATCATCATCATCATCATCATCAATATAATTGAGGCTAGATGGCCATCTGTCGGGAGTGCTTTGATTGTGCTTCTCCTGCATGACGGCAGAAGGGGATTGGACTGTAGTGACCTAGGGGTCTCTTTCAACTATATTATTTTGTTGTTGTTGTTGTTGTTGTTATCATCATTATCATTAATATTATTGAGGTTGGATGGCCATCTGTCGGGAGTGCTTTGATTGTGCTTTTCGTGCATGAAAGCAGAAGGGGGTTGAACTGGATAGTCCTTGGGGTCCCTTCCAACTCTATTATCATCATCATCATCATCATCATCATCATCATCATCATCATCATCAATATAATTGAGGCTAGATGGCCATCTGTCGGGAGTGCTTTGATTGTGCTTCTCCGGCATGATGGCAGAAGGGGATTGGACTGTATTGACCTAGGGGTCTCTTCCAACTATATTATTTTGTTGTTGTTGTTATCATCATTATCATTAATATTATTGAGGTTGGATGGCCATCTGTCAGGAGTGCTTTGATTGTGTTTCCATGCATGAAGGCAGAAGAGGGTTGGGCTGGATAGTCCTTGGGGTTCCTTCCAACTCTATTATTATTATTATTATTATTATTATTATTATTATTATTATTATTGAGGTTGGGTGGTCATCTGTCAGAAGTGCTTTGATTGTGCTTTTCCCACATGAAGTTAGAAGGGGGTTGGACTAGATGGCCCTTGTGGGGTCCTTTCCAACACTATCATTATTATTATTGAGGTTGGATGGCTATCTGTTGGGAGTGCTTCGATTGTGCTTTTTGTGCATGAAGGCAGAAGGGGTTGAACTGGATAGCCCTTGTGATCCCTTCCAACTCTATTATTATTATTATTATTATTATTATTATTATTATTATTATTATTATTATTGAGGTTGGGTGGTCATCTGTCAGAAGTGCTTTGATTGTTCTTTTCCCGCATGAAGTTAGAAGGGAGTTGGACTAGATGGCCCTTGTGGGGTCCTTTCCAACTCTATCGTTATTATTATAGAGGTTGGATGGCTATCTGTTGGGAGTGCTTCGATTGTGCTTTTTGTGCATGAAGGTAGAAGGATGTTGGACTGAATGGTCCTTGAGGTCTCTTCCAATATCATCATCATTATTGAGGCTGGATGGCCCTCTGCTGGGGGGGCTTTGATTGTGACGGTTCAAATAGGGGATTTTAATGTTGAGATAAAATATTTTCAATGTTTTATGTATTCATATAATTTATTTATGTCCCAGCATTGAACGTTTGCTGTTTGTATGTTGTGCTCCACCCTGAGTCCCCTCCGAAGTGAGAAGGGCGGAATATAAATGCTTTAAATAAACAAACAAACAAATAAACAAACAAACAAATAATCCTTTTCCTCCATGAAGGCTAAAGGGAAGGGGTTGGATTGGATAGCCCTTGGGGTCTCTTCCAACTCTATTATTCTAGGATTCTACGAACTACCTTGGTCTCATTTGCCGCCAGAAGCTGTCCGCACAGAAGGAAGTCTTCATATTGCGAACGAGGGATGACCGGTTCCGGAAGTTCTCGCAGGTAGAGCTTGAGCAAAGAGGCCACGGTATGGACATCCGTATCTCTGCCAAAGGGAAAAGGGCATTGCACTAACTAACACCATTTTCTGTTCCTGGTTTGCAAGTGTTATTCTTATTTAATTGTGCAGTACTTATTTTGAAAGTACACAAACTGTGTTCTTTTTGTGGCTGCCACAAACTAGCTTGAATTGGGGTTCTGTGAGGTTTTTGAGCTGTATGGCCAATGTGGCTCCAAACTACAAGAAAGTAGATTCCATCTAAACATTAGGAAGAACTTCCTGACTGTGAGAGCCGTTCAGCAGTGGAACTCTCTGCCCTGGAGTGTGGTGGAGGCTCCTTCTTTGGAAGCTTTTAAGCAGAGGCTGGATGGCCATCTGTCAGGGGTGCTTTGAAAGCAATATTCCTGCTTCTTGGCAGGGGGTTGGACTGGATGGCCCATGAGGTCTCTTCCAACTCTTTGATTCTATGAATCTATGTATTCTAGTAGCATTCTCTCCTGACGTTTCGCCTGCATCTGTGGCTAATGGCATCTTCAGAGGTTCTGTTGGCAGTGAAGCAAGTGGGGTGTATATATCCCTGTGGAATAATGTCCAGAGTGGGAGAAATAACCCTTATCTGTTTAAATCAAGTGTGGGTGTTGTCATTGATTAGCATTGAAAACCCCTGTGCCGGCAGGACTGAAGACCGACAGGTCGCAGGTTCAAATCCGGGGAGAGGCGGATGAGCTCCCTCTATCAGCTCCAGCTCCCCATGCGGGGACATGAGAGAAGCCTCCCACAAGGATGATAAAAACATCAAAATCATCTGGGCATCCCCTGGGCAACGTCCTTGCAGACGGCCAATTCTCTCACACCAGAAGCGACTTGCAGTTTCTCAAGTCGCTCCTGACACGACAAAAAAAATATTATTATTAGTAGTAGTAATAATGAGGGTGCCTCCAGGCAACAACAAACAGGCCACCTCTATGCAGATACCAGCACTGATTGACTTTGCAGCTTCATGACTACTCATGCTATTCAAGCTTGCCAAAGGCAACACTCATACTTGAGTGAGTGTTGTTTCTCCTAGTCCCACCCTGGACATTATTCCACAGTTATATCTACACTCCACTTGCCTCACGACCAACAGAACCTCTGCAGAAGCCATTAGGCACAGATGCAGGTGAAACGTCAGGAGAGAATGCTGCTGGAACACACTGGCCACACAGTCCAGAAAACTCACAGCAACCCAGTGATTCTGGCCATGAAAGCCTTCGACAACACAAATCCAATTGATTGATTACATTGCAATGGTTCCCAACTTTTGGGCCTCCAGGTGTTTTGGACTTCAACTCCCAGAAATCCCAGCCAGTTTACCAGCTGTTAGGAACTGTGGGAGTTGGAGTCCAAAACACCTGGAGGACCAAAGGTTGGGAATGGCTGGATTATAGGGATGGATAGCTTTGAAAAAGGTGCCACCTACTGGTCGAAGGAGGGCCTCTCCCCGGCATCGAAGGCATCCCGAAGCTGCTTGACGAGGTTATCTTGTCCGGGAAGCCGGAAAATCCCTTCTTCGTGGAGGCCGTGGTTTCGGATGAATTCTGCGCATTTCTCCACCAAGATGGGGACGAGGTGCTGCCCAAAGCGCTGCTCGTAGGCCATGGTCTCCGCCAGCTGCTGTCCAAAAACCACTGCAATAAAAGACCCAAAGCACAACAATGAGAAGATACCCAAATAAAGGCCTTGCATGGTATTTCCAATATGCGCTGCAAGGATGGAGATGTGGGTAGATATAGATGGAGACACACAGGCAGATAAATAGATGGCGGATAGATAGAAAAAGATAGAAGTAAGGTGGGTGGGTGGATACAGGTAGAGAGATAGACAGACGATGGATGACAGATAGATAGGGAATATGGATGGTTGAATGGATGAATAGACAGATAGATAGATAGATAGATAGATAGATAGATAGATAGATAGATAGAGGCAGGCAGGCAGGCAGGCAGGCAGATACGGCTTGATGGTGGATAAATATGGGTGATGGATGGATGGATAGATGGATGATGGATAGAGATAGACAGACTGCATACCTAGAGACAGCGAGATAGTGGATGGTAGACAGGTATGATGGATGGATATAGATAGATACACACAGGCAGATAAATAGATGGTGGATAGATAAAGATAGGTGGGTGGGTGAATGGATGGATACAGGTAGAGAGATAGACAGACGATGGAGGTGGGTGGGTGGATGGATGGATGGATACAGGTAGAGAGATAGACAGACGATGGATGACAGATAGATAGGGAATATGGATGGATGGTTGGTTGGTTTGTTGGATAGATAGATAGATAGATAGATAGATAGATAGATAGATAGATAGAGACAGGCAGGCAGGCAGGCAGGCAGGCAAGCAGACAGATAGATATGGCTTGGGTAGATAAATATGGGTGATAGATGAATGGATGGATAGATGATGGATAGAGAGACATATGGATAAATAGAGGCAGATAGACAGACAGATAGATATGGCTCGATGGGTGGATAGATATGGGTGATAGATGGATGGATGGGTAGATAGACAGATAGATAGATAGATGGATGGATGGATAGAGACAAGCAGGCAGACAGCATAGCTAGAGACAGCGAGATAGTGGATGGTAGGCAGGTATGATGGATGGATGAATGGATAGATAGATAGATAGATAGATAGATAGATAGATAGATAGATAGATATAGATAGAGACACACAGGCAGATAAATAGATGGTGGATAGAGAAAGGTAGAAGTAAGGTGGGTTGGATGGATGGATGGATGGATGCATACAGGTAGATAGATAGACAGATGATGGATGACAGATAGATAGAGAATATGGATGGATGATTGGATTGATAGATAGAGGCAGGCAGACAGAGAGACAGATAGATATAGCTTGATGGGTGAGTAGATATGGGTGATGGATGGATGGATGGATGGATGGATGGATGGATGGACAGATGATGGATAGAGACAGACAGATCGACAGACCGACAGATAGATGATAGATAGCAAGGGTAGAGACAGCGAGATAGTGGATGATAGACAGGTATAATGAATGGATGGATATAGATAGAGAGACAGATAGATGATGGATAGATAGAGAAGACAGAACCACTGGGATAAAGGACCAAAACAACAACAGCAATGAGAATATATCCAAATAAAGGCCTTATATAGTATTTCCAGCATGCACTGCAAGGATGGAGATAGATAGTGATGATAGATAGATAGATAGATAGATAGATAGATAGATAGATAGATAGATAGATAGATAGATAGATGGAGAGAGAGAGGATGGATAGATAAAGATAGATAAACAGACAGATAGGGATGACAGAGACAGGCAGAAAGAAAGACAGACAAATGGTAGATGGATAATAGATACATAGGCATGGTGGATGATGGGTGGATGGAAAGAGAGAGGGGGGTGATGGATAGATAAAGATAGAAAGATAGACAGATAGATGGATGGACAGGTAGATGGATGAATGGAGATAGAGATAGATTAGATAGATAGATAGATAGATAGATAGATAGATAGATAGATAGATAGATAGATAGATAGATAGATGGATAGATAGATAAATAAATAGATAGATAGATGAATTGAGATAGATAGATAGATAGATAGATAGATAGATAGATAGATAGATAGGAAGGAAGGAAGGAAGGAAGGAAGGAAGGAAGGGAAGACAGACAGATAGATAGGGATGATAGATAGATAGATAGATAGATAGATAGATAGATAGATAGATAGATAGATAGATAGATAGATGAATTGAGATAGATAGATAGATTGATAGAGAGGAAGGAAGGAAGGAAGGAAGGAAGGGAAGACAGACAGACAGACAGACAGACAGATAGATAGATAGAGATAGATAGGGATGATAGATAGATAGATAGATAGATAGATAGATAGATAGATAGATAGATAGAGATGATAGATAGATACAGATGATGGCTAAAAACAGACAGGTGGATAGACAAGAGAGATAGATAGAGAGGGATGATGGATGGCTGGAGACAGATGATAGAGACAGATAGATAAGACAGACAGATAGTAAGATGGGTATGTAGATTACATATAGATAGACAGACAGACAGATGGTAGATGGAAGATAGGGATGATAGATTGATGGATAGATAGATAGATAGATAGATAGATAGATACATACATACATACATACATACATACATACATACATACAGATGGCTAGAGACAGACAGACAGGCAAGATAGGTATGAGTATATTTTATTGCTTATCCCTTAGGCCATATCACAAAACACATAGATGGATGGATGGATGGATGGATGGATGGATGGATGGATGGATGGATGGATGGATGGATGGATAGGCAGGCAGGCAGGCAGGCAGGCAGGCAGGCAGATAGATAGCTCAATAGGGATGATGGATAGATAGTATATAGCTTCTCATAATGGCCATAATCTAAGGCGGCAATATTTAAATTCCAGCCTGGAGGCAATCAGTTACAACTAGTTAGTTACATATAATTAATCACATTTTCCGATTGTGCAATTTCTTTATGATGACTGCTTCTAGTTTTAGAGGGATATTATCCCACTCCTTTGGAGCCGAATTTGCAAGTTTTTGGTTAGAGGAATAAAATGATGGAGGAGGAAGATCACGTGGTTCCGGTGCTGGTTATGCGACACTCTCTTGTTTTCTCTCATTCCCCGAAAATGACTGCAAAAGGATACCTGTCTGTCGGAGCCAAGCCTTCTTCTTCCTAAACTCCCAGCAGAAGAACATTGCGAGACCCACCGCCATGAACTCGTCAATGCGCACCATCAACGGCTTCATTCCTCTCCTTTTTGCTGCAAGTCTCCCTTTCAGGCAATGAATGCAAAAGCTGCTCTTTCCATATCATTCCTTTCTTGTTGCCCAAAAAAGAGGCACATTTTGGTTCCAAAATGATGGCAAATGATGCAGGAGGGCTATTAAGAAGGCAAAGTTTGTAGCTCCTTGAGAAATCCAATCTATTCCGTGTCAAAATGCAATATATTTTGTGCTTTGGACATTAAACTGCAATATATTCCATGCTTTAGACATAAAAATGCAATATATTCCATGCCTTGGAAGTCAAAATGCAATAAATTCCATGTCTTGGACATCAAAATGCAATGTGTTCTGTGCTTTAGAAGTAAACATGCAATATATTCTATGCCTTGGAAGTCAAAATGCAATATATTCTATGCCTTGGACATCAAAACACAATATGTTCTGTGATTTAGAAGTCAAAATGCAATAGATTCCATGCCTTGGACGTCAAAATGAATTATATTCTGTGCTTTGGACATCAAAATGCAATATATTCTATGCCTTGGACGTCAAAATGCAATATGTCCTGTGATTTAGAAGTCAAAATGCAATATATTCCATGCCTTGGAAGTCAAAATGCAATATATTCCATGTCTTGGACGTCAAAACACAATATGTTCTGAGCTTTAGAAGTGAACATGCAATATATTCCATGGCTTGGACATCAAAATACAATATATTCCATGCCTTGGACGTCAAAATGCAATATATTCTGTGATTTGGAAGTCAAAATGCAATATATTCCATGCCTTGGACATCAAAACGCAATATATTCTGTGATTTAGAAGTCAAAATGCAATATATTCCATGCCTTGGACATCAAAACACAATATATTCTGTGATTTAGAAGTTAAAATGCAATATATTCCATGCCCTGGTAGTCAAAATGCAATATATTCCGTGTCTTGGACGTCAAAAGGTAATGCATTCTGTGGCTTGAAGCTCTGGCCTCCGCATCTGTGGTGCAATTCTGCTCCCTCTCAGTCCATAAATCCATTTAAAAGAGCAACAATGAGCAACTGATAGATCTCAATGGAGGCTTCATAAATAAAGGCTGTGGGAAGCCTGGGCCACCTGCCAGTAACTGGCACATGCGTCCCTGTGACGTTAGGGCAATGTGGCTGATGACATTGGCCTTTCATTAATACATTCATTATAGAATCTTAAGAGTTGGAAGGGGCCCCCAGGGGTCATCCAGTACAACCTTCTTCTGCATTGGAGGAAGACACAACCCAAGCCTTCCCAATGGGTGGCCATCTGCTTAAAAACCTCCACAGATTGAGACTCAATGATGAGATATTCATTGGAAAACTATTGCAACGCGTGCTGTACGATGTCCCGCCCGCAAAAACAAAGTGTTTGCAGTTTAACAAACCTTTCCCATGTTTTGATGATAGACCCAAGTAGGAAAGGACACTGATAACACAGGAACGTAGCGCAACAGGGATCTTTACCTCCTAAGGCAGACCCAACGGCCCGGCGTAGGAGCTTGACCCATTCGTCCATGTCGGATTGGGATCCGGCCATCAGAACGCAGGAGTCCGGTCCGGTCCGAGTCTGGTCCCCCGAAGTTCCTGAAAGCAAAGGAAGAAAAGGTGCAAAACTATCATTTTACATAGGGTAAGAGACCATTCAAGGCTAATGCAAAGGGTGCACGTCCTGAGACTTATAATGTGTAGTCTAGAGATGTTGATTTCAATGCATAAGGTAAAAGTAAAGGTAGTCCCCTGACATTAAGTCCAGTCATGTCTGACTCTGGGGTGTGGTGCTCATCTCCATTTCTAAGCCGAAGAGCCAGCGTTGTCTGTAGACACCTCCAAGGTCATATGGCTGGCATGACTGCATGGAGCTCTTACCTTCCCGCCAGAGCGGTACCTATTGATCTACTCACATTTGCATGTTTTCGAACTGCTAGGTTGGCAGAAGCTAGGGCATACATACATCTATATATATATAAATGCTCTGTGCATAATGAGTTCCTTAAAAACAAAAGAACCAATGAACGAAATCACACCAAATTTGGCAACAAAACATTTCACAACACAAGGAGTGACCATCACTCAAAAAATTACCATTTTGTCATTTGGGAGTTGTTGTTGCTGGGATTTATAGTTCACCTACAATCAAAGAGCGTTCTGAACTCCATCAGTGATGGAATTGAACCAAACTTGTCACACAGAACCAACAGAAAATACTAGAAGGGTTTGGTGGGCATTGACCTTGAGTTTGGGAGTTGTAGTTCACCTCCATCCAGAGAGCACTGTGGACTCAAACAATGATGGATCTGGACCAAACTTGGCACAAGCACTCAGTACAACCAAATATGAACACAGATGGAGTTTGAGGGAAATAGACCTTAACATTTGGGAGTTGTAGTCACTGGGATTCACAGTTCACCTACAATTAAAGAGCATTCTAAACCCCACGAACGACAGAATCGAGGCAAACTTCCCACACAGGACCCCCATGACCAACAGAAAATCCAACTCCCTTCATCAGGGCAAGAAAACGTAATCAAAGTTCTCCTGACAAAGAGCCATCCAGCCATAGATATAGACAGACAGACAGACAGACAGACAGATAGATAGGGGATTGTAGTTGCTGGGATTTATAGCTCACCTACAATCAAATAGCATGATCGAATTGAACCAACTGGGCCATACAGGACTCCCATGACCAACCATACAGGACTCCCATGACCAACAGAAAACACTAGAAGGGTTTGGTGAGCATTGACCTTGAGTTTGGTGAGCATTGACCTTGGGAGTTGTAGTTCACCTACATCCAGAGAGCACTGTGGACTCAAACAATGATGGATCTGGACCAAACTTGGCACAAGCACTCAATATGGCCAAATATGAACACAGATGGAGTTTGAGGGAAATAGACCTTGACATTTGGGAGTTGCAGTTACTGGGATGTATAGTTCACCTACGATCAAAGAGCGTTCTGAACCCTACCAACGACAGAATTGGGGCAAACTTCCCACACAGAACCCCCATGACCAACAGAAAATACTCAAGGCCATCCAGTCCAACTCCTTTCACCAGAGCAAGAAAATATAATCAAAGCCCTCCTGACAAAGAGCCATCCAGCCATAGATATAGGTAAATATTATTCACACATACACAGATATAATATCCTAGATTTGAAAGGGACCCCTGAAGAAGGACAATGATACGTTGCATGATCCAGGGTGGGCAAACCAGACAATCTCTACATCAACACTGACAAAGAAACAGCAAGAAATACTGTTTACCCACAAGCAGAAAGAAATTACATATATTAGAAACCAACACTTTCTAATTACTTTCTTTTCCAGATAATCAGACTGGGCCACAGCAACGCATGGCAGGGGACAGCTACTATAGTATATACGCATAATAATAATAATAATAATAATAATAATAATAATAATAATAATAATTCTGATTCTGGCAGCCCAAGAACAAGCCATTTGAACGAATGCCATCAAAGCCAGAATTGAAAAGTCGACAACAGATCCCAAATGTAGACTCTGCAAGGAAGCAGATGAAACAATAGATCACATCCTGAGCTGCTGCAAGAAGATTGCACAGACAAACTACAAGCAGAGGCATAACACCGTTGCTCAGGTGATTCATTGGAACTTGTGCCACAAATACCATCTGCCTGTAACAAAGAACTGGTGGGATCACAAGCTGGAAAAAGTTACAGAGAACGAACACGCCAAACTCCTCTGGGACTTCCGGATTCAGACTGACAGAGTTCTGGAGCACAACACTCCTGACCTCACAATCGTGTTAAAAAACAAAGTATGGATCGTCGATGTCGCAATCCCAGGTGACAGCAAGATTGCAGAGAATCAACAGGAAAAGCTGACACGATATAAGGATTTAAAGATCGAACTGCAAAGACTCTGGCAGAAGCCAGTAAATTGGTCCCAGTGGTGATCGGCACACTGGGTACAGTGCCTAAAGACCTCGGCCTGCACTTAAACACAATCGTCGCTGACCGAATTACCATCTGCCAGCTGCAAAAGGCCACCTTACTGGGATCTGCACGAATTATTCACCAATACATCACACAGTCCTAGACACTTGGGAAGTGTCCGATGTGTGATCCAATTCAACAGCCAGCAGAGTGTGTGCTGTGGACTCATCTTGTTGTGTTTCTAATAATAATAATAATAATAATAATAATAATAATAATAATAATAATAATAATAATAATAATAATAGAAATAGAACTGAGTCTCCTTTGGAAGAGATAAAGTTGGGCATGGATAATAATAATAACAACAGCAACTTGGAGAGCTCTTTTGTCCACCAGATTGCAGAATTAATGCAGTTTGACTCCACTTGAATGTTCCGTGGCTCAATGCTATGGGATGCTGGGAGTTATAGTTTCCCAAGACCTTTAGGCAAACTACAGATCCCAAGAGTCCACTAGAATGACCAGAAACACCACTATCCAGCCATAAATGCTGGGATTTCCATGCCACCCATTGCAACAAACCTGGGATGATTTCAAAGATGAATTTCCCGGCTTCGTCGGAGGCAGGGGCCACTTCTTGGATGCTGCTGCCCTGCAGTTGCACCAGGCCCTAAGGTAGCAAAACAGGAAAAGATCCCAAGTTTATTTGTGTATTTATTGATGTACCATATTTATACCCTGCCCTTCTCAACCTCGAAGGAGACTCAAGACGGCTTTACATATAGGCAACTGTTTGATGCCTTAAAACAAGATACAATTGAATAAACATTTACAATTAAAATTATTTTAAAAAAACAACAACATTACATACAATATTTAAAATTATGCTGTCCAAGCACTTTTTCTTCTTCTTCTTCTTCTTCTTCTTCTTCTTCTTCTTCTTCTTATTATTATTATTATTATTATTTTGGGGCATATAAAAATCAGTTGGTGAGAAATGAAAATGCAAAGCACAAAGTAGATTGGTTGGGCTACGCCCAGGATGCTAGCCGAGCCTGGGAATTTTGGCAACAGTTACAAGTTCAGGTTTTCTGTGCAGAAGCTTGCCAAGACAAGTTAGTATAATGTATTGTCGAAGGCTTTCATGGCTGGAATCACTGGGTTGTTGTAGGTTTTTTTTGGGCTATATGGCCATGTTCTAGAGGCATTCTCTCCTGATGTTTCGCCAACATCCATGGCAAGCATCCTCGGAGGTAGTGAAGTCTGTTGGAACTAGGAAAATGGGTTTGTATATCTGTGGAATGACCAGGGTGGGACAAAGGACTCTTGTCTGCTGGAGCTAGGTGTGAATGTTTCAACTGACCACCTTGATTAGCATTTGATGTCCTGGCAGTGCCTGTGGCAATCTTTTGTTGAGAGGTGATTAGATGTCCCAGATTGTTTCCTCTCTGTTGTTTTGCTGTTGTAATTTTAGAGGAAACAATCAGGGACATCTAATCACCTCTCAACAAAAGATTTCCCCAGGCACTGCCAGGACATCAAATGCTAATCAAGGTGGTCAGTTGAAACATTCACATCTAGCTCCAGCAGACAAGTTAGTAGCAGACAAGTTAGTCTTTGTCCCACCCTGGTCATTCCACAGATATATAAACCCTTTTTCCTATATATGTTGCTCTGCAAAACAAACAGTAAACTCCTTATTTACTGATCATCTGTGTGGCATATCTTTTCTCTAGCAAGACAGTGTGTAAATTGGTAAAGATAGGAACTAAAGGTGATTTTCATTCTGCCATTTTTCATTGACTATGGAGGCAAGTGTGCAATGACAAGGACAGAGAGATGTCCTCCAATCCTTCTATCTCTCTATCTATCTATCTATCTATCTATCTATCTATCTATCTAGGATGTGCGGTCCATAAAAAATGGTTCAAAAGTAATTACAAAATTCACTTTGAAAGTAGTGGTTCTATTCCAGAAACTTTGTTTTTATGGCAGAAACTTTGCTAAATTGGTGGAGACTCAACAAAGCAAAAGGTGTTGCTATAAATGGGGCGATGTCCCTTGTGCAAAGACAAAGTTTTTACAGTGCAATAAACTATTGCCATGTTTTGATGACAGAACCAATTAGGAATTGCCATGTATAACCCAGGAATAGAAATCATCGAGTAGATTATTATTATTATTATTATTATTATTATTATTACCTATATTTATACCCCACCCTTCTCCCCCCCGAAGGGGGACTCTGGGCGGCCTAACAAAAGCATCATACGATGCTAGCATCATAAAAACAACCACAGTACAATCAAAATATTAAAAATTAAAAAAACAATTAAAACAATTAATTAAGACACATCTATTAAAATCGAAATCCAAAAACCAGTCCGGGTCAATTCATTGCCATAAGTTGTGTGATCTTCTTCCACTTGCTGCTCACTGATCAAACGCTTGGTCCCATAAAAGGTCTTGTCTTGATTTTCCTTCTAAAAGACAAGAGGGAGGTGGCCAATCTGATATCTCTTGGGAGGGCATTCCATAGGCGGGGGGCCACTGCTGAGAAGGCCCTGTCTCTTGTCCCCATCAACCGTGTTTGTGATAGTGGTGGTACCTGTCTATAAACTTTGTGATGGTTCATGGCAGGAGATACGTTCGGACAGGTAGTCTGGGCCAGAACCATTTACAATATAAAAATGTATTGGAACTCTGTTATTGTTTATTATTTATTTTTTGTTTATGTGATTTATATTAATTGTTTTGTATTGATTGTTTTTGTTACTGCTTTTATTTACTGATGTAATGTGGGCTTGGCCTCATGTAAGCCGCACCAAATCCCTTGGGGAGATGGTGGCGGGGTATAAATAAAGTTATTATTATTATTATTATTATTATTATTATTGCTGGCTACAGACCGATCTCCTCTCCTAATTGGGGCTTTCTGACACTAATGCATTCTGGTAAATGTAGTTTAGGGCAGTGTCTTTTGAATTCTTTGGCATAGGACTTCTCCGCCGTCCCAATATACACTGCTCCCTCTTTTCACCGCTCCTAATGCTGTGATGAGACGCCATTAATTCCAGGAGAGGAATGGCAAGGCAGGCACTAAGGCAAGCAGCCTTTTTGGCTTTGCTTCCCTTGGCTTCCTTGCACTGAACATAAAACTGACTTTGGGAACATTCTGAGATTTACAAAACTAAAATGAAAAAATATGGGGTCAATTTTGATTCTAAAATATTTAATGTGGGCCACACAAACGCATTAGATATGGCTTCCCACTTACAAAACTTTCAATTTTCTTACGATTTCCGACTCTTCTGATTTTTTTCACATGCCTAATAGATAAATAGATCAATTGATGAAGAGATACATAGATGAATAGATAGATTGACAGATGAATGAAGAGACAGAGAGATGAACAGATAGATAGATAGATAGATAGATAGATAGATAGATAGATAGATAGATAGATAGATATGTAGAGTGAAAGTAGATAGAGATATGATAGAGTAATGGACCTACCTTCAGGTCCCAGTAGATGGATAGATAGATAGGTAGATAAAGAGATAGATAAATTGATGGATGGATAGATGGATGAAGAGATAGAAAGATAGATGGATGGATAGATAGATGGATGAAGAGATAGAAAGATAGAGAGAGAGAGAGAGATAGAGAGAGAGAGAGAGATTGATTTTTGGCTTTGCTTTCAGCTTTACTTCCTTGCACTGAATATGAAACTAACTTTGGGGGCCTTCCGAGATTTACAAAACTAAAACTAAAACTCTAAAATATTGGTGTGGGCCACGCAAATGTGTCAGATATGGCTTCTGACTTACAAAACTTCCGATTTCCATACGTTTTCCGAAACTGCCATTTTTTTGCACATGCCTTGTGCTTACCGATGAACTATAGCACTAAAATAGTTATAGAGAAAAGAGGAGATGAGAAGGAGACAGATAGATAGATTGGCAGAGAGAGAGAGGAAAGATAGATAGATAGATAGATAGATAGATAGATAGATAGATAGACAGACAGACAGACACTGACAGAGTGAGTCAAAGTTTGCCCATGCCTGATATAGATAGATTGGGAGATAGATAGATAGATAGATAGATAGATAGATAGATAGATAGATATAGAAGATAGATGTTATAGATAGAGGATATAGATAGAGGATAGATAGATAGATAGATAGATAGATAGATAGATAGATAGATAGATAGATAGATAGATAGATAGATGATGGATAGAGACAGACAGAGGCAGACAGACAGATAGTAGGCTTGGGCAATCCATGGTTCTAAATGGTTCTAAAGTACTTACAAAACTAAAGTTCTGGTGGTGAAAATTTCAGAACTCTAACAAAACTTTCAACATTTAATTATTATTTCATTATTGGTGATTTTAATGACAGAACCAATTAGGAACTGCCATTTATTATGAAATTTTGAGAATTTTGTTAGAGTTCTGAAATTTTCACCACCAGAACTTTAGTTTTGTAAGTACTTTAGAACCATTTAGAACCATGGATTGCCCAAGCCTAACAGATAGATATAGCTTGATGGGTGGATAGATATGGGTGATGGATGGATGCATGGATGGATAGATAGATAGCATAGCTAGAGACAGTGAGATGTTAGACAGGTATGATGGATGGATATAGATAGATACACACAGGCAGATAAATAGATGGTGGATAGATAAAGATAGGTGGGTGGGTGAATGGATGGATACAGGTAGAGAGATAGACAGACGATGGAGGTGGGTGGGTGGATGGATGGATACAGGTAGAGAGATAGACAGACGATGGATGACAGATAGATAGGGAATATGGATGGATGGTCGGTTGGTTTGTTGGATAGATAGATAGATAGATAGATAGATAGATAGATAGATAGATAGAGACAGGCAGGCAGGCAGGCAGGCAAGCAGACAGATAGATATGGCTTGATGGGTGGATAAATATGGGTGATAGATGGATGGATGGATAGATGATGGATAGAGACAGACAGATGGATAAATAGAGGCAGATAGACAGACAGATAGATATAGCTTGATGGGTGGATAGATATGGGTGATAGATGGGTAGATAGATAGATAGATAGATAGATAGATAGATAGATAGATAGATAGATAGATGGATAGAGACAGACAGACAGACAGCATAGCTAGAGACAGCGAGATAGTGGATGGTAGGCAGGTATGATGGATGGATGGATGGATGGATGGATAGATAGATAGATAGATAGATAGATAGATAGATAGATAGATATAGATAGAGACACACAGGCAGATAAATAGATGGTGGATAGATAGAGAAAGATAGAAGTAAGGTGGGTGGATGGATGGATACAGGTAGAGAGATAGGAGATGATGGATAGAAAGCGGATAGATAGATAATAGACATATAGATACATAGACCTATAGATATAGACAGATACGGTTATAGATATTGATATTCTAGGTGCAGGTTCTTACCTACAAAGCCTTGAACGGTTTGGGACCCGCCTACCTGCGTGACTGCATCGTTCATCCAGATAAATGATCTCTCTGTTCATCTGGAGAGGCCCTGCTCGCGATCCCACCTGCATTGCAGGAGCGATTGGTGAGGACGAGAGAGAGGGCCTTTTCGGTGGTGGCCCCCCGACTCTGGAACTCACTTCCTAAGGACATCAG